AAAAAAAAAAAAAAAAGATTTATAGGAAATGTTTTTTGATAAAAGAAAATTGCTGAATCACTCGTTGCCTAAATACCGCTTGTCTTTTATACTCAATGTTTTCGAAACACACACACATACTCACACACACACGTACACGCGCGAAATTGGATGATAATGAACCCACAGGGATTTAACGGTTTGCTATTATATAATATTGAGATATTTATATATATACAAAAATGTGGGCATTACAATTTTCTCAACATCAACAACAGCATCACATGATATAAAATCAAACAATAAGCAGCAAAAATTGCAAAACAAAACAAAATTTAAAGAAAATAAATGGTATTTAGTGGCATATTATAGAGTAATAGAACTTACAAAACTCCTGAAAATAATCGTTGCGGGCTAGCAATGCCAGCGAAAAAAAAAAATATAAAAAAAAAAAAAAAACAAACATTTAAAAATGGTTAAAAAACAAGAAAAAAATAATATTAAATTGTTGACAGCCTAATTATATGGAAATAGTGAATATTGTTTACACAAAAGTAGTTTGTTTCTCATCTCGAATGTTCAATGTAGTGCTTAAAATATATCTATATATTTTTTTACTTTAGCCCTAGCTCCCAAGGCAGGATAGAAGATCAGTCCTACTCTAACTTGACATTTCAACTTAAGTTAGGCTCATAAATTGCGAATTGTGTTTTAACAATTTATAGCTATTCGACTACTAGACTATTCGACTATTTCACACTCAACTCACTACTCACTCGCATGGTGCTATTAACTCCTCGTATTTACTCCGGAGTATCCAAAAAATCATGAGAAATCTTTTTACCTTTTTACTGTTTACGCATTTTTTGGATTCAAACTGAACTATTGTGAACTAGAGTTTATTAAATGGTATATTTATACTACAATCCTACAATATATATACACATATTATGAGATTACATAGTCAGTTATATACACCTATACATATATTATATATATATATATATATACAATAAAAAAGTAGCAAGAGGTAATGTAGTAATAAGAGAATGCAAACTGTTATGTGACATGGCATTAACTTACCGATTTGAGAGATTCTTTCGATAGATCTGACGTGATTAGGTCTCCGCTTGATTGCCGAAAAGAAACTCACCTTAAAATAACGTATATCATGAAATATTTATGTACTATTTGACAGCAATTGCAAAGAGTGCTCAAATTTAGCAATTAAGATCTAAGAAAACTTGAAGGAAATCAATCAGATTATACATATATACAAAATAATATATAAAATATGTTGTGTTAATATACAAAGGAAAACAGTAAAATAGTTTTGTGGAATACATCCAACACAAATTAGTGTTACATAATTTATCATGCAGAATTGGGATATGGAAATTAGCACAGTTTTGCTCCATTCTTGAAACTGATGTGATCGAAAATACTTTAAGTGGTACTTTCATAGTGGCTCGGGTAGGGGTATTCAGGATACCAGAGTTAGAAATATGAAAAACATTTGTTTGGGTTCATTGAGTTCAAACATTCGTTTTGAATGAGAATCTGTTATAACTTATAAGAGATGTAGTAGAGATGTAGTTTGAGCGCAGACAAGTTTTTAGATCATACAAATTGAATTCGGTTGAGAGAAAATAATATTTGGGACATGTTTCGGCTTAGTAATGAATCGCATGGTTATTAGAAAATCCACTTAATGACTTCACTATATTGGCATCCAAAAACGTTCAAGAGGAGCATGAATACATTTACACGAATATATATTTCCCACAATCTCTGTCCTGGATATTACAGCTAGACTTAAGTTAAAGCTCCTAAGGCCCAGACTTTATAAGTTTTTCCAATGAGAGTTTCAAACAGGGCTAAGCGATATCTATTTTGTACTTTGTAAGACTTTCTCTAGCTCTTAAATAAAATTCAAAACACAAAAAAGAAACAAATATAAAGAAAATACGAAAATAAAATACACAAAAAAATCTTTAAAATTGGAGCCGTTACATTTATGGCATATATGACGTTAAATGCAAATGTTTACATACTCTTTTACGAGTACATGCCCTATGTACACTTTACTTATACCTATGTAAGCAATCACGACAGGATTACAAAGTTTACATATACAAACAACTCTCTCTCTATCTATTTATATATGTGAATATATATATAAGTTAATATTATGTTGAATACTGTGACCCAAAATCAATCAAATAAATTTCTCATCTATTGACAACTTTCGGAACTAAAATGTGTGTTTGATCTCTAATACTTTGGCGTTTTAAATACATATGGGTATGCATATATATACAGGCGAGCGAGAAGGCTAGTTTACGCTTCCGCTTCCGGATCCGCATCCGCTTCCACTACACCTTCCGCTTCCGTTTCCGGCGAGGTATTTCGACGCGCGCCATTAAGTGCGTTTAACTTGAGCTCCTCGGCGGGTTGCTTCAGCACATCATCGTCCCGAGCTCGCCAGCAATCGAAGGACAGCATAGACTCGCCCTTGCCAAAGGCCTCGCCGTCCTCCAGTGTAATGGGCAGTTGCCTAGGGGACGACAGTGTTATAGGTTTAATACTTGACTTATACTTGGCCCACTCACCTATTGTTCGTTTCCGGCAGCAGCAGCGAGAACAGCGCCGCAGTCAGCAGCAACGCCGTCAGAATGAACGATGGCCCAGCGGCCCACTTGGTGCCCAGGTGTATCAGGTAGGGTGAGGTAACCGAGGCCGCCGCAGCGGCCAAGTGTGCTGTGGCTATGCCACGGGAGCGCACACAGGTGGGCAACAGCTCCGACGAGTACTGCGAGAAGGTCGTGTAGCATATCGAGATGCCCAGTCTTGTGGGCATCGCGAAGGCCAGCAGCAGAGAGGCATTTAACTGGACGCTTTCGAAGGAGAGGCACACGCCCAGGGCGCAGGCCAGCAGACTCGTGCCTGCCAAGGCCACAAAACAGGTGGCCTTGCGGCCCAGGCGGCTTTGCATGAGGCCCTGCAGGAATCCAGAGGGTGGCACCACCACAGCAAATAGCGAGAAAACCACAAATGGCGACATACCCAGACCCTCCACATTTCTAGAGATGGTGTTGAAGCTCAGGGATATCAGCATGCTGCGGATAAATGTTAACGGGTTGACTAAAATACGCACGTTCCCGACAACTGAGAGCAACTCACAAGGTAAAGATGACTATAAGTGCAGTCTTCCGCAGACGTGGAGTGCGCATCAGGTCGAAGAGTGTGGCTTTATTCTGCTGGCTCTCGTGCTTGCGCTTGGCGGTGCAATGCCGCCGAAACGCCTCAAAGTCGGCGGGGGGCACCTGGCGGCCATTGAAGTGGGCAATGAGCTTCAATCTGGCAATGGCGCCCTCGACATTGTTGCGCGTGATCAGCCACTGTGCACTCTCCTGAACCACAAAATAGAAGAGTGCCACGATGAGCTGCAGCAGCGCGGAGAACGTCAGATAGATGCGCCAATTGCCGGCCAAGACAGATAGCCAGGGCGCTACCAGCGCACCCAGGCAGAAGCAGAGTCCAAGCACTCCGCTGATAGCCAAATTCCTCAGCTTCGGCGCCAGAAACTCAAGCACTGCCATGCCAGAGAGAGAGAGAGAGTCAGATGGATGAGCAGAGCTGATAAGGAGATGAGCAGATACGCAATGCTTACCTAGAATAAACATCAGATAATAGTTGGCTGTTGCAGCCAGGCCGGAGATGCAGCGGAACGCGCTGAACTGTGTCAGATTCGTGGCGTACGTGGTCAGGAAGTCACCCACGAAGCCGCACTGATTCGCCAAGATGACGGCGCGCACACGGCCAATCCGATCGCCCAGCATGCCAAAGGCGAAGGTGCCCATCAGGGAGCCCAAGAAGAAGAGCGACTGCCCAATGCGCGCCTTGTACGCATTCTCGCAGACCCAGTTGAGCTGCGCAATGATCCGTTGAAGACAATCAAAGGTCTCACTTGCACTTACGCTTCGTGCTACTCACCTCGACGTTCATGCTGCGGAATCCATAGTCATATTTGTATATCCAGCGCTCACAGCTCTGACTGCTCACGGTCACATTGTAGACTCCCTCGTGGACCTCGATCTTGTCGAGGCGCGTGCAGGCAGCCTTGTTGCCGAAGGGCGCATAAATGGCAGCGATCTCCTCGTGAGTTCGATTCTCCAGCTCCTCGTGGTAGCACCAGTGCTGAGGCACAAACCCAATGATGTTCTGGGAGTAGTAGTGCACCGTGCTGGTGAATGCTATGTAGCCCAGCAGCAGCAGAATCAGATACTGATACCGTCCCGCATGGCCGCATTTTTCCAGAATTTTATCAAAGTCCATTGCGGCACGCGCTCTCACTATGCTCGGCCAGAGATTCTGTCAAGACTGAAAACCGAATGCGGCCCAGCGGAATATAGTTGTGGCCCTCAGCCATCAGATTTGCACAGAGTGCTCGGACGCAGTTTCTGTTTCACTTTGGCTCCGATAAGATTGTTGTTCGGTTGCTTATCGCATCGTATTGGCGTGTTGTGTGTGTCTCTATGTGTGTGTGTGTGTGTGTGTCGCGTTCTATCCATTACGAAATAAATGTTTTATTATTTAAGTGAATCCACTTACTCGCCTTAATCTAAAGAGAGAGACCGGCGTCTATCTGAAGCGCCGCGCTAACTATTGTAGCATGCCAAAACATATTTCAAATACATTTGTGTGTATCTACAAATATAGATATGATAAAAGCAACATCTTAGAGTTCAACTATATATAAGTATATATGTGTGTATAAGAAACCCAAAGCTATTCAATGGCCAATTAATTACATTCAAATGTAAGCGTTCCGTCAGCCTTAACATTGTATCTCAGAGCTTATCAAGAGAGCTCGCCAAAAGCGTCGTAAGTGGGTGCTTGTGTGTGTGTATACATATATACTATTTACTGTTAGATAGATTTATAGTTGTATTTACTCTGAATAGCATGTGAATGATATGCAGTTTTGTGTACATAAAAGATATACTTATTCTATAGGTTCGTCCAACATTCGAATTGCTCACAAATGCCTCCACTCTCACTCTCTGCCATTCTCTTTCCCATTCTCTTATAGCACTTATAAGACATTTAGTGGCTGCTTGTTTGCCAACAAACTTGATGAGTAACCACTCTTATAATAATGCTTATACCCGCATGCAGGAGGCCGAGAAGACGTGTGAATAAGCTGTACAAAGAGAGCCAAAGATAAAGAGAGGTATATGCATATTGAAAACAAACGTGTTTTAAATATTTACTCATTGTATATTTTCTAAAAATATCCATGTTTGATAAGCAAAAGTTTGTGTATTCTCCTTTGAAAAACGATTTCTATTATATTTCTAAAATAAGTATCCAAAATATCCAATATAAATGGCAGCTAAATTATACAAATAAAATTAAAATATGGTAATGTATGCATTCAGCATCTGCTTGTGGATCTAGATAGTAAGTTCTTAATAAATTCTATCGTCATCATAACAGAAATGTTTTCCAACCACAATTATGAATATTGCATATATTATGCAAATTGATTATGGCAGTGATTAAAATAAACTTAATATTACTTAACAGTTTTTCTAATCGAAATTTTGTGTGAATACTTTCGCAACTCTATTTACTCCAATCAGTTGAGAAGCGATGTGATGGTATTCACTCGAGTACAGGGTATATTGTAGTCTGATACTGTTAGCTACGTCACTCATTAGCTCTGCCCTTTTGTCGCATTCTTCACTTATGTCGATGAGCTGGCGCAGCTTAATTAATTGATGAAACTCAAAGATCCATATAGAAACCATTGTAGTACATCAAGAAGTTTGCTTGAGAGGAGTCGCAGCTTCAGTATGCTCGGCCTTTGGTTGCCTTAAAAAGTCAAACATGCGCTCTCCTCTGCCAAACTGTTCGCCCTCGGCCAGTGTAATGGGCAACCTGCGATTCTCCGTCTCTGGCAGCAACAGGCAGAAGAAGCCACCGGTTAGGAACAGCAGGCAGAGTATAATCGAGGGGCCCGCTCTGTAGAAGGTGCCCAGGTGCAGAATGTAGGGCGAGAGCAGGGAGGCAGCCGCGCCGACCATGTGCGCCACGCTGAGGCCACGGGAACGCACACAGGTGGGCACCAGCTCCGTGGAGAACAGCAAAGTCGAGCCAAAGCAAATGGATAGACCGAACCGGGAAGCAATCATCAGTGATATCAAGAGCACCGTACTGGGATTCTGCCAAACGGACAGCGCTATACCACTGGCGGCCGTAAACAGGCCCGTGAGCAGCAAGGACAGCACCGAGGAGCCCTTGCGGCCGATGCGCTTCTGGATATCGGCTTGGATGAAGCCAGAGGGCGGCAGGGTCAGTGCGCTCAGCGAGAACATTATCAACGGGGATATGCCCAGACCCTCCACATTGCGTGCCAAGGTGTTATAGCAGACCGTTACGATAGTGCTGAAACCGTAGTACATCATTCGATCAGCAATGCTCTGCGATATCTGTGGTATACTTACAATGTGGTCAGCATGATGATGATGGTTTTGCGCAAGTGCGGCGTCTTGAACATGTCAATGAATTTGTCCTGTTGATGCTCATTAGACTCCTGCGCTTTCTTGATGCAGTTGATCTGGCAATATTTGCGGAACTCCTGAAAATCCTCCTCGCTGACCTTACGACGATTCATTTTGGCCACGCGCCGCAAGCACCTTACGGCCCCATCGATATCATTTCGAGTGACCAGCCACTGGGCGCTCTCCTGCACCAGAAAGTAGAACAGTACGATCAGCAACAGCGGCAGCGAGGAGCAGGCTAGGAATATCCGCCAATGGCCCGCTAGGACGGCCAATCCGCAGGAGCTAATCATGCCCAGGCAGTAAAAGATGCCCGAGGGAGGAAGATACTCGAGCGCTGCAAGAGATAAGTTGCTTTAAGCCCAATAATTAACATATAGCCAGAGATTGTAGCATCACTACACACCAAGAATATACATGAGATAGGTGTTGGCATCCACCGCGAGACCCGACACAAATCGTGCTGTGGAGAAGGCAAACAGGCTGCTTGTAAAGATAGTTGAGAAGTCGCCCAAAAAGCCGCACATATTGGCCAAAATAACCGACTTAATTCGCCCAATTTTGTCGCCCAGAATGCCAAAGATGAGCGTGCCAAACATAGAGCCTATAAAAAAGAAAGATTGTCCCACGGGTGCTTTATAGGCATCATCGCAGACCCAATTAAGCTGTACAATGAGTTAGATAAGATTATAGATGATATATAACCATCGTTGCGAATAGCAGAACTCACCTCAGTGTTCATGCTTCTAAATCCGAAATCATAATTATAGATCCAACGATCGCATTGCTCCCCACTGACAGTTGCGTTCCGGCCATCATAATCTGGGCCGATCGTCTCCAGGCGCGTGCATGAGGGATAATCGAACTGATTATAGATGGCCTCGATTTGTGCGAAGCTGCGGTTTTCCAACTGCTTGTGATAGCACCAGTGATCGGGCACAAAGCCGATCACGTTCTGTGAGAAGTTGTGCATCGATGTTACGAACATCAACAGACTGTAGAGGCCAAGCAGCAGGTATTGATAGCGATGCCTGTTGCCGCACTTGGCCAGTATCTCATCGAAATCCATGGCAATGCTTAGTGCCAGATTCTCCGCTTTCGGCTCTGAACCCGATGGAGACTTCACTCCGTATGCGTAACGTACGAACGCTTCGAGCCGTGCGGGGGGGCCAATAGAGAACCAGTCAGCGTTCAGCTCTCGTTCGATGCCACGCACGTACTGTCAGCTGGCGTGCGCGGCCGCGGCCTCTTTGAGAAATAGTTAAGAGCGTAGTCGAAACCAGCTGATTTGCTCGAGTCACTCGAGTGACCGAATCCGCTCTGCTACTGCTGGAATTCCTCTCCGGCCTTTCCTTGACTGATAAGCGCTCAATGCTATATCAGCGAAATGAGAGGCGCGATTCTACCAACTTATTATTATCAATCGAACTAATTCTGTTTGTTGTTGTATTCAGTCGTTTGTGATAGGCGTCCTCGTACGATTCTCATTACAATTAGACATTGGAGTGTCGTCAGCTCAATTGGAATGAGATACGAAATCTTTTGTTTAGCACTATTATCTTATAGCTGTAATCTTTACGAATTCGATGAAACACAAGATCAATTGATTTTGATTTGGGAAATTGTTAATATTGAAGGGTTTCTGAAACGTGTGAAGCTTGCACTCAAGAAATTGATAACGATAACGATCGATCGATATCATTTTGAATCTTGATTGCTAATTTTAAGTAATCGAAATTAAATAATCGTGGGTCGGCTTATCTAAACAGTTGGCAGACAAACCGATAAAAACTATACATACATATGTATATATACGTATGTATGTATATAACTATATATAAACACCTTCCTTAAGAATCAATTTCTTGATAGAAATTTAGAACTTTTCAAATTCTATTGCTATAAATAAAGAGAGTGTTTATGTATTTTCATATGTTTCCTCATGCCCATGCTAATACCAAAAGTAAATAATATCTATTGCAAGGTAAATTTTAGTACACGAAGTTTGATAAAAATCTAAAAATATAATAACAGTAATATATAATTTTTAAACACGAACATATACACATACATATGTACGTACGTACATGCATACAATCGTAATTCAAGATATACATATGTATGTATATACTTGATAAACTAGCCAGCAGAGATCTCATTTCTCGACAAACCACTTGACCTAGAGACAGTCAACATGCATATGTATGAGCAACAAAATTTATTCAAAACTTTACAGTTTGTTTTTTAAAGCTCTTTAGCTTATTTTGAATAAAAAATAATAATTCTAAAAATGCATATAAATATGTTTGTTTATATAGTTTTTGCACTCACAATATAGTTTAAGGAATAAAATCATAAGCAACTGAACAGTTATTTGCTTTCCTGGACCTCTTTGGTTTTTAATTCGGCTTCCAATTTCTTCTCGGCTGAGCCTTGCTTACGCAGCTGATGCAGAAAATCAAACATTCCTTCACCTTTGCCGAACTCCTCACCCTCGGCCAGAGACATGGGCAGCTTCTTGTTGCGTGTCTCGGGCAGCAGAAGACACACATACGCCCCGGAGAGGAAGAGCAGGCCGATTATAATCGTGGGTGCGGGCTTGTAATACGTGCCCAAATGCAGAATATACGGCGATAGAAAGGAGGCCGCAAAGCCGACGACGTGTGCCACGGCCACGCCACGCCCACGCACGCAGGTGGGTATGAGCTCGGTGCAGAGCTGGGAGCTGACTCCGTCCGCAATCGAGACGCCAAAGCGTGTGAGCAACGTCAGCCCGACCAAGAGGTACACATTGCGGTTCTGGCCCAGTGATATGACCAGGCCCGCAGCGGTGGCCAATATGCCAGTGAGGATCATCCAGCTGACTGCGGTGGCTTTGCGCCCGGCCACATCCTGCAGATAGCCCTGCACGTAGCCAGCAGGCGGCAGCATCAGCGCGTTCAGCGAGAAGAGTATGAACGGCGATATGCCCAGGCCCTCCACATTGCGTGCGATGGTGTTGTAGCAGGGCACCACGATGATGCTGTTCAAGAGAGTATGAAAACCAGTTATGCTTCGCTTGTGCCACGCACACACATACCAATGCATGTGCCTATCGCTTTCGCTTACAAAATGAGCAGTACTTTAAATGCGCTGCTGCGCATGCGCGGCGTCTTCAGCATGTCAAGCAGCTTGGACTCTGGCTGCTCCGCTGCAGTCGTCGCCGTAATGCGGTAGTGGCAATGGCAATAGCTGCGGAACGCCTTGAAGTCCTCATCGCTGACCACACGCCGATTGATCTTGGCCACGCGACGCAGTCGATCCACGGCGCCATCGATATCGTTACGTGTTACCAGCCACTGGGCACTTTCCTGCACCAGGAAATAGACGAGTGTGACGAGGAGCAGCGGCAGGGAGGAGCAGGCCAGAAACAGCCTCCAGTTGCCCACCAGCACAGCCAGCCAAGCGGCTCCGATCAAGCCCAGCGAGTAAAAGATCCCCATCACCATGTTCAGGCCCACGTTGCGCAAAGACGGCGAGACATACTCGATGACTGTTGGAAATAAGCTCAGTCAGCTATGCTGCCAGCTGACAGTCGGCAATTGCAATACTTACGCAATATGTACATCAGATACGAGTTGGCATCAGCAGCCAGGCCAGACACGAAACGCGTTACAGAGAAGGCAGTCAAGCTGCCAGTAAATATGGTCGAGAAGTCGCCCAAGAAGCCGCACCAGTTGGCCAATATGACGGCCTTGACGCGGCCAATGCGGTCCCCGAGCAGCCCAAACATCAGAGTGCCACACATGGAGCCCACAAAGAACAAGGATTGGCCGACACGCGCCTTGTACGCGGCATCGCATACCCAATTAAGCTAAACATTGCCACGTGCATATGGAAGAAAAAATACATACATACATACATACATACATGAAAAAGCTCTGAACACGATTCAGCTAAAATGAAATTTGTAATTATAAAATGCAACTGAGATGCGATAACAAAAACAATTAAATATATCGGAATTTCTATACTTTCGATCTATTAATATATGTAGCTATATAGAGTATTTCGTTCGACTCACCTCGGTATTCATGCTTCTGAATCCGAACTCGTAGTTATAGATCCAACGATCACATCGCTCCACACTGGCAATGGCATTGGTGCCATTCGAATCATCTCCGAGTGTCACCAGGCGTGTGCATGAGGGCTTATCGAACTGTTTATAGATGGCCTCGATCTCTGTGATGCTGCGATTCCTCAGCTGCTCGTGATAGCACCAGTGGTCGGGCACAAAGCTGATCACGTTCTGGGAGAAGTAGTGCATTGACACAACCAGCATGAGAAAGCCATAGAAGGCGAGCAGCATATATTGGTAGCGATGGCTATTGCCGCACTTGGCCAAAATTTCATCGAAGTCCATGATCTCTTGCGAGCTGCCTATGTGCTGTGGGGCTTTGTGCGAAATTCAAATAACTGCATATCTTAGGCGTAGCTATTTATGAATGTTTTTGCCAGTTCAGGGAACTAAAAGCCAAACGCGTACCAAATGCCTCCTGCCGCCGTGCAGCGTGTTTGGCCAACTGGTTGTTGCGGCCGCACCGAAAGAAGTTTATGAAGTGCGCTGAGTGTGCGTTGACTGGTTGTGTACTGTAATAGACTGAGGGAGGCGTTACCTCCACGCCTCTCCCTCTCCCTCTCTACCACACTTTCCTTATATGCACGGTGCGCTCTCTTTCAGTCTGATAATTGAATTATGTATGGCTATGTACCCTATACTAGCAGACCATATGTAAAATTTGTGTAAACATATTGACACTGGCCTATTGAATGAAAAGCGAACGAGGCTAGCAATATGATACCCTTTCAAAGCGTTCCATTAATTGTGTACAAACCATGCCACACCCAAGAGCTGCTCTATATACATAAATACATTGTAGCTCTAAATCAAGCTGCTGATTTCTGGCTTATGTTTTGCCAATCGTCACAGATGTTTTGTTACTTTTTTCTATATGGAATATCACGCACATTCTGGACTTGTTTCAAAACAGGTTTATAATCAAACTCGTTTACCATAACAATTCTGACCACAAAATATGTTCAGGCACAGGTGCTCGTCTATATCTCTAACGAATCGAAGTAATCGGTTGTTATGAGTTGAGCGTTAAAACAACTCTAAATAATGCCTTAAAATTGAGCTTTAACTGGTTTTTTATATTATTTAATCTTTAGAATTTGAAAAATGCATGCAACACTTGGTGCAATGCCGAAGTTCAAATACCCTTCAAATATACTGTTATGCGGGTAAACAGTATATTTGAAGGGTATTTGAGCTTCGGCATTGCACCAAGTGTTGCATGCATTTTTCAAATTCTAAATGGTCAATTGATTTCAATTTTTGCCCCTTAATTGATTGCTCTGATTTATGGGTTGCAAATAAAATGTAAATAAAATAATTTGAAGAAGAGAAAACACAGAAAAATTATTATAATTTTTATTTTTTATTTTTTTTTTTTTGTATTTTATTTTCTCATTTTGTTGTTGTTTTGTTTTGATTTTAATAAGTATGGTGTCTTCAATTACAATTGCTATTTAAATGGATATATGCTCACATTTCTCGCCACTTGAATATATTAATAATAGTATGTGTTTTATTTTTGATTCTTAAATCATTTGCATTTTGTTTTTTTCTCTCTTAGCCAACTCTTGTTTTTTTTTATCATATTGGTTTTTATAAATGTAGTAAACGCATTTTGATAACAGTATACGATAAGTTCTAAGTGTAGACATAGCTGTCTGTCATTTCAATCCATAGTTCATATAAAAAGTTCTGTACATACATCTCCATCTCATGCAATGCAATGCGTGTGGTTAACTAAATTTCATAATTTACAACTAAAATATAGTTTAGCTGCTGGCTAATACGAGTTACATTAAATTAGTTTGAGAGTACAAATAAGTAAGCATAATGGATAATAATAACTATTAGACTTATGAAGACTTTTACAATAGATGCACACAATCAACTAGACATAAGTTATGCTCAAATATAGTCATAAAGTAGGGTATACTTAGTGTAGTTACATAGTTATAATTAGGAGAGAAGCAAATAATAACAATTTACAAACGGGCTCTGACCTAGCACGATTCATGCCAATAACATACACAACACTTACAGTACTTCTATATTGCTTAAATCATGTCTTTCGATATACATCGTYACATACATACATACATCACCTAGATTACATACAAACGTGTACTTTCGACACGCCTCAACGACGTGCCTAACAATCGCATAGACTAGCTAATTATGAAATTGAAAATTGAAAAATCTATGTGCCTATATATATAAATGGATATATATGTGTATATATATATAGCATATCAAATATCTGAATAGTAAAAAAAGCTGCCGTGGCATGAAAATTTAAGTGCATTCAACCCTCGATGCTATCATAAAAATATTCTTCTCTGTCTGCATTCGGATCGTGTGCTCGCTCTTGCTCAGACTCTGGCTCCTCGAACTCGTCCACATCGTAGGATATTAAGGACTGCAGACTCGCTTCGAGCAGGCATGGGCTATGCCGCACGTGATGCACCTTGAATGCATTGCCATCGTTAGCCGGCGAGCCAAACCAAATGGCGCAGTCACCATCCGCACCACAGTCGTCCACAGCTGCCGCTGCGACTGGAGGCAATGGTGGTGTGGGTGCCCCGATGGAATCGCTATAGCCATAGTCGAAGGTCACCAGCAGATTGTCGCTGGCACCGTCCATGGAGTCGGGCGTTGTGTATTGCGTGTAATACGAATCGTAGGCCGTCTCCTCGGATACATCTTCATCACTTGGCATTTCTTTGATGTATGTCAAGGGTTCCATAAATATAATATGGTTGTTGTTGTTGTTGTTCTCATTGCTGTTGTTGTTGTTGTTGTTGCTTGTTTGCCACAACTGCCAATTGTTGTTATTGAAACGGAAATTTGGCTTACTTGCGCTATTTACCAAACTCTGTGCATCAGTTTTGAATAGAAGAGCAAAAGAAAAGAGAATATCAAAATTTGTAGATCTCATCGATTGCACAGGCAAATGACAGAAAACAAAACAACACAAAACAAAAACAAGTCAAAAGGTAGCATATAATAGTAATGTTTGCATAAAATGTTAGAGAAACACAAAATCAAATAGCAAGAAAGTTAGGAACCTCAACCATAGGCAGGATATATGTATATAGATAATATTTCAATTAGCACAGGACGTCCAATATATATATACAATAAATTAGCTGGGAAATCGAAAACGTTCTCCATAGGAATGCTTTAAAGCGTTTCGAAGAGGTGCTTACTTATGACCAGTTGGAAAATTGTCTTGGTTGCCTGCTTTGGAAATTAAATAGAGCGAGAGAGATAGAGAGAGAGAGAGCGAGTGTGTGTGTGGGTGTATACTTGTGTGTGTGTGGCTCTGTGTTTGTGTCTGTCTGTGTATTTATGTATAGAAAATGGCTAAACTACGGGGAATACTACGATCACAGGAGTAATAATGCTTGCTGTTGGCTCAATATCAGTGTTGTAAAAGCAAATAAAGCAGTGCTGTGCAGGGGCAAATACACACACATACATATATGTATATATGCATATTGATGTTATATATCTTTTTTTTTTGTCGGGGGTGGTAGCTTAATCTACAAAATGATATTACAACAAATGAGAGACTTACGCGTATAACAAATTGCGGCAAAGTGTCTTAGTTCTTTGTCTATCAGAAAAGCAGACAAACGATTTACAACACAACTAGCTCAATCAGCTCGCTTCGTGCGTATTTGAGACTGGAGCTTGTAGCTTGTAGCTTGGAGCTTGCTATTTGGAGCAACTTGGAGCTGAGCACATGAATCCTGACATTCGCATCGCCTGTCCGCTGTCCGTTACCAAAATAACCTCCCGAGTGACGCACGTGTTTTTGGAATGTTGCTTTTATGTTAGCATTTTCATTTGCAGCATGCAGCTTAAATTTTCACCACCAACGTCAATCAATCAATCAATCAATACACCACCATTGTCCATATGTATATAGATGTGTATATATATATATACATATGCATATGCATATATAGTTGTACATGTTTATCCAACGTTTATCCGGTTAGGCATATTGCAGTTAGGAAGAGTTTCTTTCACAATTGTTTTTAGTTACAGTTTTCAATAGGCTGGTTGGTTGGATTGGTTTGGTTTGGTTTGTTGTTGGGTGGGTATGACATATATAAGTATGTATATATATATAGTATATATGTTGAGGATATTTGTGGTACGGGCAGTTTTTGAATATACAAAATAGGAAATCGTGTGAGTTTATAACAGACGGGTATACACATTTGTTTGTTGGGTTTACGGTTTTTGATTTTTTAATATATATATATATATTTTTTTTTTATACATGTGGAGTAGACATACATAGGGCGAGAAAACGCGCAGAAAGAAAAAGTAAAAGTAAAAAAGAAATTACAGCATTAGATACAATTATTTAGTGTAAACAGCTTGACTTTTATTTTCTAGCCAAGTTTGACCATGATATCTGTATGTGTGTGTGTCGGTGTATCTGTGTATGTGTCTGGTTAGTTTTAAGCGCTGACCAAGCTGACAATGAAACACATGGCAAACAATGATGATGATGATGATGATTATGATGATGATACACATGATAGGCAAGATGCATTTGAGAGCTTGGGGGCAAGTTTTTGGTAAAAATTAAAGTTCAAATTTATGCAGTTCTTTTTGTTTATATTTCTAAAGATAGAGATATGTATGTGTATGTTGTGTTCATATGCATAATATGTGGTATATATGTATTAGACCATGATCATAAATAATGACGAATTAGCATTTAAATTAGGCCAGAAGGGTAAGTGGTACGTACATCAACTTATTGTATATAGATAACAGTAATCAGTTTTAAACATATACACGCAAAATATAATGATAATTACAGTTAATGCTTAGGCCATACATACACACTCACACTCACACACACGCGCACACAGAGACACACGCATACCTATATGAGTAACTGCCTGATGGATACAACTAATAATAACGATATATGTGTGTATGTATGTATGTATGTAGTAGATATAATGATAAACAATTTACATGATTTTTCGCGCATACGATTCATATGGTAAATGATATACTTATATGGGCATTCCTTTTTACGAGTATGTACAAAATAATAATTATCGTAATAATAATAGTAATAGTAATGTATATGTATATGTATATATATTTATAAAATGTAAAGAGAAGCGAATACATTTTCTTTGTTGCTGTTTGTGGCGCGTGCAATTGATTATTTATAGCGGCAGATGAGGCGACTAATTAGCATAGCTGCTCCAAGGCAAGGCCGTGGAGGTGGCACCTTTCACTCTGGTCAATGACCAACAAACAAAAAATACTCAATTTAATTTTATAAAACTGATAACACGCTGCCTCAGCACGGCAGACGTGTGTGAATGGGGGGCTAGGCAGGAAAGGATTGGATAAGGTCAGGCACGGTGTGGACAAGAAGATTTTGCTTGGTTCCTTTTTCCATTTTCGTTTCACATACGCATAGGCACGACGAGAGTACACAATCAATTGACCTAACGATCGTTAGTTAGATATACATATGGTTCTTTATAGTATATAGTATATATATATATATAATGTATGTTTTGATTGCATCGTTGGTTAGTTGTATGCATAGGCATGTCGTATGTATTATTTATAAATAAATATGCATGTTATTATGTGCCCGTGAAATAAACCCCAGTCGAAAACAATTCGAACTCGTTTTTTGGCGTAGTCTCTTGCTTTTCAACAGAATATATATAGTGGATCAAAAACAATACAAGTTTTAATTAATTAAAACAGTAAAACGATATTGCCAAATCTTTAAGCTTCATGGAGAACATGAAATAACAGAGAACAAAATTAAATTGTGACTAAAAATTGAATGTTATATATTTCTCGCCTAACTTTTAAGCCTTTGAATTTTGTTCAATTGTCGCTTGAACCAATTAATTGTTTATTTAATTTTCTAAATTAATTTACAAATGCGAAATAATTTCGATTTCCAGATATTTTTTTCTAGAAAGTAATATACTCATGGAGTTTTAATTTAGAATTTTTAAGAATACTTTAAGCAAAATAGTTTTATAATTCGCGCAGGTTTTTTGCTCTTTCAGAGATCAAGATATATATATAAGGCCGAATATGCTTATATATTCTGTACAAACTGGGGTTTACTTCAGGCTGTCGCGCCATTGTGAAAGTGTACAACGCAGATGACATCTATTATATTATGTATGTATATAAATTAGGTATGCGGCCAGTTGATCTATTGCTAACTGTAACTGGTATTGAAGTGTGTGTTGTGTCTTCGTTGTTGTTGTTGTTTCTATTGTAGCTGTTTGTTGTTGTTGTGTTGTTGGTAATCGAAGGCGTATTAAGACAGTAATCAGTTATCGATAGGCATATATATATAGATATATATATTGATGTATATGTATCATTATTATCAGTATCAGTATCAATATCGTAACTAAGATTATTATTCATTTGAACCAACCCAAAAATGTTGACTTTAAAGTGCGTACCTTGCCACTATCACTGTCGCCATAGCTGGACGTGGGCGTGGCGTTTGCTTCGCTACTCTGCTCACGCGCCAACCGCGCACTGGCCACCGAGGCGCTGCTGAAGCGGCGCGACACAGCCGCACCACCGCTGCCAGCACCACCGCCGCTCCGTCGCTGATAAGCTGGCGCCGAGCTGGCATTCAGCTGCAGATCCTTGCGCAGCGTCGTACTCAGCTGTGCCGCAATGGAGCTGGAGCTGCCGCTGGTGCTCAGCTGGCTGCTTTTGTGCGAGGCGTTGCCGCTGCCGCTGCCACTGCTGCTGCTGTTGTTGTGGTGGTGGTGCTGCTGCTGCTCGGGCGATTGTTGGGCGCGCGAAAGTGAGTCGAGATGCCGCACACGTGAGCTGAGCGTCTCGCGCTTAAGCTTGGGCAACGGCGAGTTCTGGAGCACGCGCGGGGACGGAGTGGTTGTGGCCGTGTGGCCGCTGCTGCGGTTACCACCGGCCGAACTGGATGAGTATGGTGTGGTGGCCAAGGGTATGGAGGAGGACGTTGAGCTGCGGCTCGTGTTCGTGCTCAGTGAATGATTGGAGACAGAGTCGGCGCGCTTTAAGCTCTGGCTCAGGTTGCCGGTGCTGCGACTCAGCGAAGACTTGCTGCTGCTCCCATACGACACATTGCAGGAGTTATGCACCGATGGCGGTGATCGACCTGCTGTGGACGGCCGACCCGTGGGCGGCTTGCCCGCAAAGTAGGCGGCCGCCTTGCTGCCCGGCAACGGTATTTTGCTCGGCTTGCTGGCGCTGTTGAATTTGCGAAAGCCGTGGCTGCGCAACGGCGTCGCCTCAAAGGGACTGACCCCGCCCACGCTGGAGCTCAAGACACGCGCCGCAATGCTGCTGCCGGCGGTCGCGGTGGGCGTGCTACTGACCAGCGGACTGGGACTGCTGTTCACCATTGTCTTGCTCTGCGTCGAGTCATTGGGCGTGCGTTCCGGTTCATGCTCGTGCGCGGATTCGGTGCTGCTGCTGTGCTGCTGCAGTTCATCCATGGCCAGCGGCACCATGGCCTTCATGCTGGGCGTGCTTATTTGATCGGATCGGGGCTGCGCCACCGACACAGATGCCGATGCCGAGTCCACCGAATCGGGTACGCCACGCCGACTGAGCATCAGTGTGGTGGAAGCCGAAGAGCGATTTGTCTCGTAATCATGCTGAGACGAGTTCAAATACGAATTGGCGCTGCTGCTGCTATGCAGCCGGGATTCCAGTACGCGCAGCTGCGCCTTGGTGCCCTCCAGCTCGATGTTCTTTTCCTCCAGCTGAAAGCGCAGCTCCTCCGTATCCTCGACACTCTTGTCCAGCCGCTTCGACAGCAGCGACTTTGACTTGCTGGACGATTCCAGCTTCTGGGCCAGCACCTGATTTTGCACAGTCAGCGTGAGCAAATGTCGCTGCAGCTCCAGCACATTCGTTTCCAACAGAATGGCCGAGAAGCGCTTGGAGTCTGTGATGCGGCATTTGGTGTTTCGGGCGCCGGGCGTGCTGACAACGCCATCCAAACGTCCCAGCGGCTGTTGTTGCCTTCTCGCTGTTGCTGTATCACTGCCTGAGCTTTGATGGAATGCGTCCGGCGCTGGCTGCTGCTGTAGCTGCTGTTGATGCTGGTCGAGCACAACCGGCTGGAATGTGTTGTTACTGCTGAGACTGGGCCGGCTACTGTTCGAGAGCACCGTCGTCGCCGAGGATAAGAAGTTGCGTTGACTGGAGAACTCTGACTGGCTGGCGCTGCAATTTCGATTTGAATTAGAATTTCTAATTATTAACTGACTTGCGAAGCTTACCTGGATGAGCTTTTGCTCTGCTGTTGTTGTTGCTGCTGCTGCAACTGCAGCTGCTGCACACGCGAGCTCAGCTCCAGCTTTTGAGCCATGGCCAGTTTCAGCTGCTCCTCGAGATCTTTCTTAACGCTAATCAACTCTTCCACCTGATCGTTCATCTTAGCCGCCTTGATGCGGCCCGTCAACGTCTCCGCCTCCATTTCGGCCAGCTTATCCAGCAGACGATCGCGTTCCTTGCGCAACTGTTTGATATCTTCGCGATTCAGTCGCTCCACCTGCTCCCGGAATTGCTGCGGTGTCATGCCACTCGCATTCTTTTGGCCCTTGGCTGCATCGCCCTGCTGGCGCTCGTAGCTCTGCAGATGCTCGACCTCCTCGCGTAAACGATTCGATTTGCGGTGTATGACATCAAGCAGGTTGAGCAGCTCGTCATCCGACTCGGCGCAACTCAGACGATTCGATGCTATGGCCACCTATACGAAGAAACCAACAGTTAGAATCAGTCCGAGTTTATGCAATTGCCATTCGATTTCCACTTACCGTCATTGCACCGTTGGTGGAGGAGGCACTGTGTCCCTCCTTGGAGGAACTGGTCTCCGTTGAGAAGCCGGAGTCCTGCACAACGCTGCCGTTGTTGTTCTCTCCGCTCTTTGGCTCTTTCTTGCCGCTGTGCGAGTTGCTGCGGCTGCGCGTTAGCGACGATGACGACGGCTCAACTCCAGCGGATGCTGCTGCAGCGGCCGTTGTCGTGGACGGTTCCTTGTGCGACAACTTGCGCTTTATGCGTATTCCAGGCTCCCACTCACGTCTGCAATAAATGTAATATGTGGCTTTAGTAATCCGATCTATTTTTGTAATCACATTCGTCACTCACCTGGTTGCTAACGAGGAGCTGCCACCATTTCCACTGTTGCCGCCCACCGAGTGACTGCCACCAAGCGCACTCACAGAGTTCGGTGTCGATGGCGTGGCGGACATAGAGGCCATTTTATGCTTGAGATCGGGAAACGTTTCAATGACCAGATCTCTGAACTCCAACAGAGCGCCCACCTCGTGCTGCAGCTCCTGCAGCGACTTGGTCTGCTCGCTGTGTATGGGATGATGCGGATGACTACCATAGCTATTGCTATACGGCGCATGGTGGCTCAAGTGATGGTGGTGCAAATGGTGTGGATATGTGGCGCCCACGACAACCGTTGCCGTTGGCGAGGCAACCACCGTGCCGCCGGCCCCGCTCGTCGCCATCAGATGCGGATGATGTGTGACAACTCCGCCGCTCAATGGCAGGCACTCCATGGCGCCGCTGGCCAAGTCTGTGATGCGTGTGTGGCCACCACTGCTGTTGCTATTGCTGTTGTTGTTGCTTCTGTGTTGGCTAATGCAGCTGCCGTCTGTTTTGCAGGTCCCATGCGTTGCGGGTAGCTCAAAACCGTCATTCTGCAAGCAAATAAATAGAAGGAATTTTATGAATTTGCTATAGATCTACGTTTACAAGATGAAAACTGTCACATGTGAAACCGAAATAAATAGTTATTTAAATACTGGTTTAATAAGAAGTCCACTTACTATGCCACATACATATTCTTTAATTCTAGAGCTAATTAGTTGCTAATTCAGATTAGTTAATATGCGCTTGGGCTACACAAATGCAGAAAGACAAATGAGAAACGTGATTAACCAGTTTTCTTTTAAATACGAAAATAATATCTATTAGTAAATATAAATCAATGACTACAAGATCAAGGAAAGTTGACAAACTTCATGTCATACCTGTAGACATATTGTATATTCGACTTCCACCTCATTTACTTCGTGACAAAGCTGTTTTAGTTAAATCAGATCTAGCCATTGCTTTCCTTAATTTATCTCTATAAGCTTTCAAATCGGTAAGAAAAGCTAGGCCTATGGCCCTAGCACTAAGCCCTAAGCTTTGCCAGCTAATTACACAACAGAAACAAAAAAATCGATGAAATAAAAAACAGTAAATTCAATTCATCATCGTGTGGCAATCGTTGGAGTTCAGGAGCAGCGTAAAGCGATTAGTGACTGACACATAAATTATGATTGATGAATTGCAGCGCAGCGCAGTGCAGCGCGGGCCGCTGACCTACGGAGAAAACTGTAGCAAAAGTGCAACAACAACATCAGCAATTGCTGCATGCTGCGGGCAATTTGTGACAATCATGCTGTTTGTTTGTCTCAACTCAACGAATCGCATGAACAACAGCAACTAGAACAGCACGTCTCTTGGCCAAGTAAATCTCTTTGTGCAGCAACAGCTGCAGCCAGAATCAGAATCAGAGCGCCGTTGCTTAAATGTCACAAGTGCCGCGCGCTTTCACTGGGCGAGAATATTTCTAGATAACTTTCACATGCAATTCACATAAATTGCTCGCTCGACTATCGATCAAACAAGCGGCAAGAGCTAAACATACATAGCTGAATATCATATATATGCATGGGAATATATGTATATGTGTATGTTGTTCTCTAGCTGGCTTGCATGCCAATTGATTGACTGTTGCCTGAAGGCTGCAAAAAGTTGGGCAAAAATCAAAATATGAAAAAACTAAAATAAAATCGAGATTACAAATGAAGCATAACAATTGGCCCACATTCACACAGACGAGTGCATTTTGGGACATTATTTAACAGGTAATTAGCCGGGCCAGGAAGTTAAGCCATAATTTTTGTATGTGCCATTGCATAAGCACAATGCACTTTAATGTTATTTCTATCTTTTTATAATGATTGTTTTTGTTGTTTTCGTTGTTGTTGTTGTTGTTGATTGTTATTGCTGTTTCTTTTTAGCCCTGTCAGATGTGACCGCTTTGCCTGTGGAGCGTGGCGAATGCAAAGCCATGGGAAGCTACAGCAACAGCAACAGCAACAGCAAAGGCAACATCAAACAGCTACGGCTGCACTGAAGATCGTGTAATTATATAGCAAAATCCATTGTCAACCACGAAATTGAAACCAAACAATTGAAACGTCGTCTGTCACTCATAAGCGCTCAATGTCGAGATGACTGTCAAGCCAAGCGTGAAGAGACAAGAGAGAGACAAGACTGACTCTATATGAATTGGAAGTTTCTTTTCTTTTAGTTATTTCTTTCATATTTTTTATTATCCATGCTCAATTAGCCCGCCATGCCTGGCCTTTGGCCCACAATTTGCTCGGCTAATTATCGAGATATATATAACTATAACTTTATATATCAAGTTTTATACTTAGATACATACTTATATATAGATATCAGCTATGGCTACAAGTGTTTTCTTGTCACTCGACGCGAGGCGTTGCTCAAGCTGCGCCTCCTCATATATAAATAACAAGAAGACGGTCGGCAACTCCATAAGAGGCGTCGTTGGCATCGTCATCATCATCATCACTATCATCATCATTAGCTTTGGCGTGGGCGCCCAACTGTCGTCTGTTATAGCGACAGCCACGCACTGCTGAATCTTCAAGTTTGGTTTTTATAACTCTTCAGCCCAATTGGGTTGATCATCATCATCATCATCAACATCATCGTCAAGCAGCATCATCGGCATTATCATTGCGAGCCATGACAGACGAAAAGTGTTGCGGCACGTAGCACTTGGCGCTCGTCACTGCAGCCGCTCAATTAAGCTGCCCACCACTTGAGGCAAGTTGCCCACCAAGCCAGAGGCTTGGGCTTCAGCTTCAGCTTCGACTTGTGCTTGGGTTTGGGCTTGGGCTTGGGCTCTTGCCACATGAATCAGCTGAGCTGTTAGATTAGACAGCGAAACAGCAGCCAACGCATGGAAAATTCTATTCGCCAACTCACAAGCAGCAACAGCAGCAACAGCAGCAGCAGCCGTTTTTATGTTGACAAGACATGCGAGCCGTTTAAGTGAGTATTAATAGAAATAGCCGTCAATAGCTGTACCAGTACCTGAATCACTACCCGTTGTACCAGACACAAAAGCCATTAATAATACAACTCATCATAAACAGTAAACAAAAACGAAATAAACAAGAATACAGCAACTGTGCATAATTAAAACAAATGATTACGAAAAGAACAAGAAACATAAATAAATAGAAAATAAAATTCTAAGGGAAAAAAACTTTCTAAGAGTTTTTTTTTTTTAGCGAAAATCAATTCAATGAATGCACTTGACATTTGATAAAATATTAGAAGCCATAATAATACTCATGAAAACAAAAAGTTTACTATATATTATTAGAGTGTATATGGAGTAGAAGTTAAATTAGTTAATTATAAAAAAATCTAGCACTTACAAGAAAATATAAATATTCATTTAGATTTTGTAAATATAAAACACAATTTAAACTAGTTAATTATATATGTATATGTTAATTA